ATGGATGGGGATATGGACACCAGGATCAGATATGGACATTGGGATAGAACATGGACAGCAGGGACAGGATTTGGACACTGGCATGGAATATGGACAGCATGGATGGGCTATGGGCATCATAGATGGGGTGTGGACATTGGGATGGGGTAGGGACACCATGGATGAGACATGGACATCATGGATGGGTTATGGACACTGCTGTGGGATATGGAGACCATGTATGAGATATGGACATTGGGATGGGGATATGGACACCGGGATCAGATATGGACATTGGGATAGGACATGGACACTGGCATGGGATATGGACACTGGGATAGGATATGGATGCCATGGATGGATATGGACACTGGGATGGGGATATGGACACTGGGATGAGACATGGAGGTGACAGTGACCCCTCAGACCAGGGCCTGGTTGTTATGTTGATGAATGTGACCCCCCTCAGGAAGAACCGCCCCTCCCCTGCACTTGTGGGGGTTCTCAACTCCCACCCCCTCCTTGTCCCTTCCCCACCCATGTCCCCCACCTTGGCCGGGCCGTGTCCCCAAAATCTCCCCTAAAATATCCCCACCACTTCCTCCTCCTTCGCCCCCCGCGCCTCGCAGCGCGTTAAGCCCCGCCCCTTCCTATAACCCCGCCTCTCTACCCCATTCCCGCCTCCAATTGGCTGCCCCTCCCGTCAATCATCCGGCCCCGCCCCGCCCTCCTTTAGCCACGCACCGAGTACTTCCGCACTTCCTCCAGCTCCACCCTCCTCGTTCTCCTATTGGCTGCACACCCCGCCAATCACCTTTTTAACCAATCACCTTCCGCTCCTCCCTATCCCCGCGTTCCCATTGGCTGGCACCGCCTTCAGTTTTTCATAAAAGCAGCGGCCCTTTTTAGTCCCGCTTTTTTAGTCCCCCCCTTTTATTTCCTCCCTTTTATTTCCTCCCTTTTATTTCCTCCCTTTTCATTTCCCCTTTTTAATTTCCCCCTTTTTATTCCCCCTTTTATTTCCCCCTTTTTTCCTTTTCCCTCTCTTTTGCCAACCCTTTTTTCCCTTTTTCATCCCTTTTTTCCCCCCGTTTATTCCTCCTTTCCCATCTCTTTTTCCCTTTCCTCCGCTTTTTTCTGCCCTTCCCCCCCCATTTCTTCCCCCTTTTATTCCCCCCTTTTTATTCCCCCCTTTTTTCTTCTTTCCTCCCTCCATTTTAGGGGTATTTTAGATTATTTTGTTTCTTTTTTT